CCCCAAAACCCCAAAACCCCAAAACCCCAAAACCCCTAAATAAGCGAATTCACCTGAAAAGGAATAATAAATTTAGAATAAATATGTATCAGGCTAGACAAAAGGACCAAAATGAATATAGTATTGATGTATCTCCATCCAAAATATCAGCAATTGAGAACCTGCAGAATAGAAGAAGGAACAAGAGTATGGATAAGAAGTACTGTCTGCCTCAGATCAAAAGTAACTCCAAGCTTAATCCAAGAAGAGAGCTTAATCAAGGTAAATTAATCCTGCAGGTTTTGTCTACTAGCCTATTTATGACATAGAAATGCACTGCAGCTTTCTTTGAGAGAGCTCATTCTAGCCCTTTAGTGTATTTTCCAACTCTCTTCTGTGATTTTATGACGCCAAAACATATTAAAAACTGACTTGCATTGAGAATAAATTAAATCTTTCAACTTGTTCCCAAGATGATCGTCCATGGTATAGATCTCATGCCTCAGAGCTCTGGCTACATGAGAAATGAACGGAAAGTTGAGACCACAAAGAACCTTAGCTTCTCACAGAGAAAGCCACATTTTGAGATCATGAAAAATGCTAAATAAGTTATATTCTTTAGTAGGATCGAGGGAAAAAGAGGTAAATAAATTTATTTTATCATACTAGAGAAACCACTCTAATCATAATAGTGTCATTGGCTTACAAGACAAGCCGAGCCAGGTAGAGAGTATTGGATGATAAGGTATAGCTATATGACATCAATTATTTGGACAAAGCTGAATCCTTCCATAGTTCCGAAGTGCAAAGTATTTCTAGTGTGCGCAGCTTTGCCCAAACTTTCAAGAGGGTGCTTTCCTCTACTGCTTCTAAAGGTAAATATGGCCCTATTAAACTTTAGCATTGGATAAAATGATCCCACATAATGATTATTATTCCTACAACGAACCAAATTTACGTGCTTCTGTTCCAAATAAGAGTAATTTTCAGATAAGGAAGCATCAAATCTCAAAAAATTTGAAAAATTTTAAAGGACTTAGGGAGGAAACAAATCTGAGGACAAAATTAGCTACAAAAAATCTGGCTACAAAAATTCCAAGTGGTATAATTCCTTTTAAATCCTTAGCAAGTCCAGCGAAGAAGCTCAAATTTAGCCATAATGTGCTTAAAATAAACGATTTTGATCGCAAAAAACTTCGAACACAAAGCCAGGATAAATTAAGAGGAAAGTCAACTCAGAGAAAAATTAAGCAATTACTTCCAAAATTACGAAGGAAGACTATCAAGAAAGGTAGGATTTAGCCTAATCTCTAGTTTCCGGGTACAGCCCGTATACTTTAAAGAGTTATAAGGAGAAATTCTGACAGAAATCCACTCCCATGGGAGGTCTAGGTATGTTTACACCATAACACCATCAATTTAGGTTCCAATATCGGGAGCCAGGACTGGCAAAAAGCTATGGATAAGAGAAACAGAATGCATTTGCTAGCAAAGAGTATAGAATTTGAGAACAAAAAGAAACTGGCCTTAGGACTTAAGAATAAAGATATCATTCAGTTCCATCCAAGTAACTACTCCTTGAAGGCCATTAAGGTAGGAAAGAGCTAGAAAGACTCCCTAAGAGAGCTCGAACAGCTCCTAGAATGCTTATAATAGTCAATCATCTGCCTAGAGTTTGGGGTTTTGGGGTTTTGGGGTTTTGGGGTTTTGGGG